TGCCGAGCCGTGCGCCCCACGCGTGCCGTGCCGCGCGCAGGGCGGAGCTGCGCGCCGTGCGCGACGCCGTGGGCTCCGCCGTGGGCGCCGCACTGCGACTCTACGAGGAGCGCGCCGGCGAGCTGGGGCTGGCGGTGGCACTGCGACGCGGGCCGCGCTGCCCTGCGCTGGCCGAGGCGCTCGAGGGTCTGCACGACGTGGAGCGGCACTACAGGCTGCTGTATCCTCACAGCACAGCAGTTGGCGGTGCAGCCTGTAGTCACGGTGTCCCCACAGTCATGGTGTCCCCGGGGTCAGGGTATCCCTGAGGTCACGGTGTCCCCAGGGTCAGGGTATCCCCAAAATCACATCCCTAGGGTCGCAATATCCCTCAGGGTCAGGGTATCCTAAGTGTCATGGTGTCCTCAGTATCATAGTGTCCTCTGAGTCAAGGTGTCCCCCTATGTGATGATGTCCCCAGTGTCACAGTGTCCCCAGGATCAGGCTATCTGTAGGGTCATGGTGTCCCCCTGTGTGATGGTGTCCCCAGGGTCAGGGTATTCTCAGCATCACAGAGTCCCCCTGTATCACAGATTCCCCAGTGTCACGGTGTCCCTAGGATCAGGGTGTCCCCAGGGTCACGGTGTCCTTGGTGTAAGTGTGTCCACAGGATAAGGGTGTCCCCTGTGTCAGCCCTCTCACCCCCATATGCTTCCTTACCGGGCCCAAGGTACCTGGAGAGCAGCCTGCTACTGCAGCGCATCAGTTGCGATGACCTGGACACCATGGAGGCCCTGCCACAGGCCTGGGAGTGCATCCTGGAGCGCCATAAGCCCCACGTCGTGCAAGGTAGCGCCCGTGCGGGCACCAGCCTCTTCAAGGGAGGCCTTGAGCACGGTCTGTGTGAGCGATGTCCGTGCTCAGAACAAGCAGCTCTATTTACATGGTGTGACAAATAACCTATCTTTTAGGGTTTTTAGAAATAAGTTGCATTTTAGTGCATATAAACTACAAATAAAGTGCACTGTTCTTTTCTTTCAGATACGCTGCTTAAGATCTCGCTTTTTCTCGACAATCAGTGATCCCTGTGCTGCTAACCAGGCTCCAAGGGAGAACGGGATGTGCTGATGTGGATTGAATCCTGTAGGTGCCTGGTATGTGACTTTTCTGAGCCATCCTTGAAGAGCAGAATGAGCTGAGCAAGCCTTCCATATGCCTTTTGGAAGGATAGTTGGCCTGGGAAAAGCTTGGGCTGTTCCATTTTGAAATGGAAATGGACTTAACTCAGTGTCCAAAGACAGCAGGAAGAGTCATCACCTTCATCTATGGACACCGGCCTTTCTCTTTTGTGCACTGAATATTTTGTATACTGAAAGAATTGTTGAGATTCATTAAGTTGTGAATAAACAGTCCTAATAGTGTTTTTTTGCAGGAGATCCTGCAAATAAATAAATACATGTAATACAGTGTCTTTGTGTGGAATATACACATGAGAAGTTTGGGTTTGAGCAGAATACACAGAGCAGATCTTTAATGAGCAGGACAAAGAAATCCAGACAGGTGGGAGACTGAGTGGAGCCAGGAGTAGGGGGAGAGACTGCGGGGAACCTGGAGTGAGGGGGTCACAAAGGAATCAAGTGACCTGAGGTGCGAACATGTGAGGGGAGGCAGCGAGCTGGGTGTCGATGGGCCGGGCAGGTTGTAACTCCTGTGTCCCTTGGCCAACAGGGAAAAGGAGAGGGCTACCGCAGCCAGGAGATTAGGATAAAAGGGGGGCTGCGTCCCCTGGCAACCTGAGAGACCCCACAGGGATATGCCCGGTGGACTGTCCCTTTGTTCAAATAAAGTTTTGGGTCTCCTCTGTCTCCTTTTGGACATTCAGTTCTTGGACAGCAAGATTTTTTCCTCACATCTTGCACTTTGATATTGCATAGAAGAGGCTTTTAAGTGCTGTCATAACAGTTATCAAACATCCTCGTGTAGAAAGATAAATGTAAGGCCTTCACCTTCCTCTGGGGGGCAGGGCAACATTTCTCTCAGGTCATTATTTCCACATGTCATCTAGTTTTTAACCTGTTGGCAAGGAAAGCAAGTTGTGTAGTCGGGAAATGCAAAAGATTGCAAGCACGATACAAAAGTCTCAAAGGTGAAGAATGAATTTGAGTGCTCGAGGGCACTGCTCAGGCTGTGGAGAACCACCAGGTTGGTGAATCTTGAGCTGGGCTGGTGCGGCCAGGGCTCCCCAGCTGATCTCTGTGGATGATGCTGCATGGGCAGGTCCCAGTATGAAGTAAAATAACTTCACCCTGCTGGCCTTCGTGCAGCTTCAGAGTGTCACCGCTGGTGGGTTTGTCAGAGGAAAGGCACTAGCCAGGAGGGAAGCAAGGCAGCTACTTGCAGCAGATGCTGGGCAAGGGCTGGTGCAGCTCTTTGGTGGTTGGTGACACCTCTCTGGGGCCATGAGTAGCTTCCTCAGTGTTCTGGGTGTTGCTCCTGCCCTCCCGCCTGCCCTGAGAGGCCTTTGGGCCTCCACAGGCAGCTCCTGTCGAGAGCATCCCCTGTGGAGCATGGTGAGTGCTCGATGCAACTGCGAGCTCCTTTCTCAGCCATCCCCTTCCAAGGGAAGTGAGAAATGAAGTCCTACTGCTGCAGTTTAAGATAAAGCTGATGATGCGGTGAGGATCCCAGTTTGGAGAGCAGCCAAGAAGGCTGTTCTTTAGCAAATGTTTGTGCTGCAGTCTCAGTGCTGACACTTCCCATGCAAAGCATTTCCCATCCCTCGAGCACGCTCTTTCTCACCCGTGATGTCACTGGCTCCGTTTGTTTCTGGTGCAGTGGGTTGCATCCCTGTTGCAGTTCATTATAAGGCAGGCACTTTGCTATATTCTGAATTTAGTGCCTTTGCTTTGTTTGGGCCTTTGGCTAAATCCTGTGTTGCTAAATGAAGACAGGGAATGCCAAACCTCTCTACTGTATAGTGACAGTGTAAATCCAGCCTTTTTCCTGAGGTCTGTTCACTTACCTTGCAACTAATACACCCCTGGCACATAGCGTCACTCTCGAGCGTAGAAAGGGATGATTTTGGCCTGCTCTCTTCTCCTGGGTCTTGATATCTGTATCATGCCCATCTCCTGCAGCACCATCCACGAGCTAGTGCAACAAGAAGGAGCCGGGAATGTGCACAGAGGAAGCAGGGCAGCTAATGGCAAACGTGTGTGTTTCCCCCGTACAGCGCGTACGGCTGGTTTCTGAAAATGTCATTTGGCAACAAGTGGCCAGCACCAATCTGGTGTTTGAGGGATGGGGAGGATGGACAGACTAATAAGGAACAGCTGCATGGTCTTGTATTCTTTGTGCGTGGCAGAAAGTGGATAAAGATGTTGAGTAAATTTGGGTTATCACCCTCCATCAGGCCTCAAGGTTTCGTCATAGAACGGGAAAACCACTGCTCGTGGCGCTCATGGACGCAGCATCATGCTCAGTGACACACGCACCATCGAGCCCCTCCTCCAGGGCACATCCGTAGCAAAGCTGCCCTGGGACACACGGGACAGGATTGGGACCAGATTCCATGAGCACCGAGCGCTGCTAGTACTCTGACCTGGCCGATGCGGCGCGCCAGTCCTCCCTACATCAGAAGCTCCTTTGCAGCTCAGCATAACCCATTGCTCTAGATCAGCTTTGAGGGATGTTTTTAAGTCTGCTTGAGGTGGTGGTTTCTGTGACAAGAAAAAAAGAGTGTGGATGTCCCAAATGATGCTCTGAAATGATATATTTTAAATATATACTCCTGCTTCTTCTTTGCCATTTACCTTATCCCTGCACTTAGAGATGTACAAAATATTACAGTTCATTCTTGGTCTTTCCGAGCTTCCTAACAACAGTCTGGGATTTTGGAAGCTCCTCAGAACAGTTCAGTTGTGGCCTTTCTGCCTCTGGCTGGAAGGTTTCCCCTCTGATTCCTGCCTGATCTTTTAAAAGTGCTAAGGGAGCTTTCTGGATTATAAGTAGCCATGACCTGACTCTGAACTCCTACTGAACTGGGGTAAAGAGGGAGCTCGTTGACTTTTTGGTGAGATTAATCACTCCGTGCTGTTGATGGCTGATGGGACATGCCGTCGTTGGCGTTTGTTTGCAGTGATGGGAAGGGCACGAGAGAACCTCCTTGCCAGAGGGCTTTAATTGGATACAACTGTGGGTTTGTTCCATTTCAAGATCTGTATGTTACAGCCCCGGAATGCTGCCAAGATCCCAGTTGTTAACAAGAATATCATGTCTCATGTGTGTGAGATTCGATTCAGCCAGCGTCTCTGGAGCATTGCTGCAAGTTCAGAAGTTCTGCCGCGAGGACATGGCTTGGTTGGCGCCGTCACTTGCAGGCTTTTCACCCAGGAGCAATCTGGGGAGAAGGGAGTCTCCTCGGAAGGTTTGGGGGTCTGCACTGCCCCATCAGACACCCACAGTTAGTGACAATATCATTTTGTGGCACTTCCCAGCTGGCGTCTCTGGACTCTGGGCTTCCCTTGTGTCTCACCTGGGGCAGCCGGGGAGCCCGGGACTAGGAGCTGTGGATTCCAGTCCCTGCGATGCCTGAGGGGGCAGTGGCATCAGGGGCAGCTCTGAGGCCAGCTGATAAAATTCACCTATCTGTAAAAATAATTCCGTGTGCCTTTCTTTTTGGAGTGAAGCTTTTAAAGTGTTCTTGCGTGGAGATCTGTCTTTTAGGAATGCAATAAAACGAAGTAAGCAGCTGGAGCTACCTTGTTAAAGTGAAATTCTCAGGAAACACAAAGCCTGTGCTTTGATTTTCAGCTTTACCTCCTGCTAGTTTAATTTGAAAATGATCATTCTTCACTTATAGGGAAAACACAAACTAAAATCAGTTACTAAATTTAAATACTCGCAAACATTTATAGAAGACATCTGACTTCTATCTGACTAGTTTGTTTCTTCACGTAGGATAAAAGTCAACTTTTAGTGGATGGTGTCTCTGTGCAGTTCCGCTTTGGAAGTAAGGACCTGAAATGGGAAATTTTATTTTTGACACATTTGCATCACCCTTTTCTTCTGTTCTGCAATTGGGTATGGTTGTGCCCTCTGGCTGCCTTCTCCAGAGTCTGGCCAGCTTGCCACCATTATTGATAGTGAAAAACTAGCATGTATTATAACTTCCAGGCTCTGTAGCCAGTAGTAAAATTTAGTATCTGAATGTCTTTGTATATCCCACATTTTCAAGAGCTTTGCCCAGCGACATACTGGAACCAAAATATACGGACTCAGAACTCCAGACTTGAAAAAACACCAAAGCTTTGTCCAGTGCAAGGTCATAAACCTCAAACAGATTTCAGGAGCTGAATTTACTACAAGCATCCTAATTTAGTGAAAGACTAAAGAAATTGGCACCTGAATTTCAGCTTAAAGTTTAGTTGGAGGCAGAAATACATGATAAAAAGCTGTGTGAATCATTAAATAAACCAAGCATGAGTTTCACAAGCCCATGTGGTTTTCATGCTTATTCTCTGAGACTTTCATCTTGGCCTGAAGCAGAACTCCTTTGTGATTATGCAGGGCCCCCGAGGCTGCTTGAGTGCTTATCCACTCAGAAATAAAACAAACATTCTCCCCTCTACATTAATTGAATGTGTAGCTCTCATGCCTAGCTTTCGGCTGCCTGTGCTTTAATGTTTTTGTGGCACTCTTGACTTCATCACAGCATTTGCCCTGTTGAGTTGCTGGCGAGCTCCAAGGGGAGCTAAATCTGATAATCCTATAGATGTGAGTTGAATGGGAACACATCTGGGCGAGAAGCAGGGATTTGCTCTTCTACGATGTAGAAGTGCTCAGCACAGGGCCCATTGTCTGGCCTTGCAAAGACGGGCACAAAAGTTATTTAGCCAGCTTTTTGACACCGTGGTTTATCCCATTTTGCTACATCCAGTCCTTTCTATTCCCACAGAACCTCTACGGTGAACTGTTCAGCAGCTCCCCACCACAGCAGAATGAAGCCGCCTCTCATCTCACTTGCCTTATCTGCCAGTCCTGTGTAGGGTGTATTTCAATCCTCTCTTCCTGCTTTTCCCCTCAACCCTTTCTCTCCTCCTCCCTCCTTCTGTGGAAACAAATCTACAGTAGGTGTCTCTTGAACTTGCCTGAACCCCTTGTCCCAGGCACCTTCCCACCTAATCCTTTCCAGATGTCCAGGAACTTTTATGATTAGCCATTCTGTTCAAGTTCCCCATTCATTCTCAGTCAGAGCAAAAATTGCATTTTGCAATGTCATTTGAATAATAAGGCTGATCACAGTCTTCTGAAAAGCCACTACTCCTCAAAACACAATGTTTTAACTCTATTACAGCCTTTGGGACCCAAATTGGAGATGACCATGAACACAACATCATAAAGAGCATAAAACCTTTCTCTTCCATGG